AGAAATGCTCCCAGACAATGATCAAGGCTGTGTCACTACAGGGGACGCTCAGGAGGACTGGGGTGTGCAGGGTTGGCCAGAGAAGGGGCAGGGGCCCGGGAATGCTCCTGGATGATGATCACAGCTGTGTCACTACAAGGGATGCTCAGGAGGATTGGGGGTGTGCAGGCTGGGTCAGACCGGGGGCAGGGGGACCGGGAATGCTCCCGGACGATGATCACAGCTGTGTCCTTGTGAGCTACACGTGTCAGTGTGACCGGGTATTGGCCAGACAGGAAATCATAGAGCGGGGTGTGTGGGGGGGTGTAGCTGAACTGGGTTCTGCAAGGCAGACGTTTCAGGCACAAGGAAAGGCTGCCCTGAACGCTGCCCCTCTCTGACCGGCAGGAGAGCTTTGTTACCCTGTGTCTATTCACTGTACCTCTGCTCTCAGTAATTTATAGACCCCGTTTTCCCCACGAAGCTCCACTTAGTTTAACCAACTGAGAATAACCTTCATCTCTTGCTTAGAGGGTGCCCCAGGGAACCCATTTGTATGAGGATTCAGGGAAGAAAAATGGTCCTTACCTGCTTCAAAACTGCTGTACCCACACAAGTAGACCTTGAAAAAATGATTAATATTTTTTCAGCTGGGAGGGACTTACTGGAGAATTTCAATCATGGGTTCTTGGCTGAAACGTGTTGCATTCCCCCCAAGTTAGTAATTTTTTTTAACAATTTGCAAAATTACATTCCAGGCTTGTCATGCTCTTGCTTTTCTTTACATTCAGGGCTTTGAAACAGAAAAATGAGAATATCCCTTTGTATTAAATTTGGATTTTGCCAACATTCCATAAAAATGGTCATTTTTTTATATATCTTCCTACCAGCTTCTTTTTTAACTTATTTTATTTAAATTCAGTTAGTTAACATATAGTGTTATCATTAGTTTCAGATGTAGAGTTTGTAATTCATCAGTTGCATATAACACCCAGTGCTCGTTCCATCACGCGCCCTCCTTTTTTTTTTAGAATTTTTTTTTTAAGATTTTATTTATTTTTTGACAGAGAGAGAGACAGCAAGAGAGGGAACACAAGCAGTGGGAGTGGGAGAGGGAGAAGCAGGCTTCCCGCGGAGCTGGGAGCCCGATGCGGGACTCGATCCCAGGACCCCGGGATCACGACCCGAGCTGAAGGCAGACGCTCAACGACTGAGCCGCCCAGACGCCCCCATCACGTGCCCTCTTCGATGTCCATCACCCAGTTACCCCATCCCCCCACCTCCCCTCCAGCAACCCTCGGTTTGTCTCCTATGGTTAAGAGTCTCTTATGGTTTGGAGCAGCTTCTTGCAGATTCCAGGGTATGCCTGGTTCTAAATAAAGGCTTCTTTCTTCTATTTGCACTTACAGGAGAAAAATTCCTAAGCTTTTGCTCATGTACTGGTAACTTGCCCAAAGCAAAGATGCCCCAAACCTTCCTCCTTACATCTGTGTTCTAGGCCCTGACCTTTCCAGGCTTCTATTGGCCGGAAACAGGGACAGTAATAGTAGGTATGCATGGCAAAGGTGAAAAAGAACAAGACATATTATGGGGTTTCTGATATATATTTTTTTATGATACAGTTTAAAACTGAGGAAAATTGTGCTGAACTATTTTTTTCCTACCCTAAGTTCCTGGCTGTTTATTGGGCCAGTAATCTTTGCTGACCTCTGACCCGTGACTGAGTTCCTACAACAAGTCATGGACTCTTCTCTGTTGTCCTGAGCTTTTTGCTTCCTAACCCCAGCTTGCCTTTCCTTGATTCTACGTCCTCAGATGGCCTTTTTCTTCTGCTCTCTGATCAGGGATGGCATGATTTTAGAGCCCAAGGAAACTCTTCAAGGAAGGGATTCCAGTGACCGATAGTGGCAAGCACATCTCAGGTCACTACAGCTGGTCACGTCTGCTCCACGGTAGCAGACTGGAGAGCAGAAGACAGAGAAAGACGAGGGCGGGCTGCTGGGGCGCCCGGGATGCACCTCGCTGTCCACGCAGCACCTTCAGTGTAGACGCCCCACCTGTGTCTGCCCTCCAGCATGTGGGTACAGTGGCAGCTGTGGTGAGGGGACAGTGTATGCGAGAGAGACTGAGACCAAGACAGAAAAAGGGGACAGAGGACAGAGAGGGAGGTTTCCTCACTGGAAATCTAAAAAAAGTGCTGCTTTGGGAATTTGGTGTATCTGAAAACGAGCCGTAGCTCATTTATATGATTCTCCACAAGTGGATAGTTTGGTCTTTTTCTGTTTTGCTCTTACTCACAAGCTGCACTAACATTGTGAGACACACGTCCTCTCAAGTTTCTGCAGGACAGATTCCTGTATGTGAAATTGCTAAGAATAAATGCGTTCAGCATTTGGGTAGATCCTACCTCCAGGAAGGCTGCACCTCGTGGCACACCCACCGACAACGTGAGAGAGTTTTCTAGTTTCTGCCACTCTTGTGGATAAAACAATTGTTTGATGTAAATTTTAACTACAAATAACATTGCACATTTTTTCATGGGCTTTTTGGCCAGTTATAGTTCTTTCTCTGGAATTTATGCTGACGTACAGTATGAGGCAGAAATCAAACTTCATTATTTTGTTTTTCAAATAGAATCTAATGTGCTTACAAGCTCTCCTCCCCTCTGCCGTAGTTCTAACTTTTGTACAAAGTTGTTCGTGTATCTTTGCTGTCATGCTAACAGCCACGGCCTGGTGGGCAGAACTCTTCATGTCTGGCTGCCCGTGGGCCTGCCTTGGTCAGGGCCTCACTCCCGTTCTCATCAGAGGCTCCCTTTCTCTGAGGAGCAGCCGGGGGCCAGCTCTCTCAGCAGACACAGGGCTGGGATGGCTGCTTGTAGGAAGGATGGTGCACCTGTCATCATTGTGACTGATATACCTAGGACCCACGTTTACCAACTTTTTTCTTTTTTCTAACTCATTGTTTTATTTTTAATCTCGATTCCTTTCTGTTACCTTGCCTACGTTTATTTTTTTTATTCCTAACTTCTTGACATGAGTGCTTGGTTCTTTTGCCTCTTTATATTAATAAAAATGCACTTAGAGTTAGGATTTTACTTGAATAAAACTTTGACTGCCCCCTCTCCGCACACAATTTTTATACTTTCCACTGTCATCAGCTGCAAAATAGTGTGCAATTGCATTTTGGATTCTCTGTTTTCACCAAAGCCCTAGGATAGTTCCCTTCCCTTCTCTTATTCTCATTAGAATTTCTAAACCTTTCCTTACTGACATCTGGTTTTGTGGCATATAATTTCTGCATTAATTTTTTTTATAATTCATATCACATACAATCCACCATTTAAAAGTGAAGCACAATTCAGTAGTTTTATGTTCACAGGGTTATAACAGTCACCCTCACTATCTAAATTCAGATTATTTCCACCCTCCAATTTCTGCTTCCTAAAATATTAAGAAAGCCATTTGCATAAACTCAAGTAAAAAGCAGGGGATCTCGCAGAAACAAACTGCAGGACCAATAGCTGGACTCAGAGGAAGACACAAGCACCAGGAGCTACTCTAGGGCTGCGACTCCCTCGCTCCGCAGAGTAGTTTCCTGCTCAAGCTCGGCATGACCAGGAGTCCACTTGTACAGAACTCCCTACATCCCGGGCTCACCCCACTGTGTGTGTAGCTTGAGCCAGATGTTCACTCGTGGTCCGATCACCTGTGCGGCTGTAAGGGATGGTGATTTGCTTAACCTTCCAGCAGGGCTAGGGATGGGGTCAAGTTCCCTCAAAAAGCTTACATGGGAAGAGATGCAACATCCATCAAATCTAATCCGATGGCTTGAAATAGGATCCATTCCTAGTAACCTTGCACGGGCCCTGGAGAAGGCCTCCTGTGTGGGTACAGAGTGTGCATATGTGCACACAAGCAGATGGCTGTCGCTAACTGCTGGGAGGCTGTCTTGTCCAGAGGGCGGGTGGCTGTGCTGTGGTTGGCCAGCCTGTCAGTGGAGGGGGTCCCTGTAGGAACTGGGCATTCCTGCTGGCCATAAGTCTGGGAAGAACCGCAGACAAGCAACGACTTGGGCCTGGGGCTGGGGCCTTTACACAGTGGGAAAGGCCGTTGCTACCCCCTCTGATCCTGAAGGGCACACCTGTCCTGGAAGGCCCTTCCTTCCAGATGGGAGCCCCTTGACTGATGACCAGGGCTAGCCAGCCACCTGCAGCTGTTCCCGTCTGACAAGCCTGACTGTGACGTGGGGAGGGGGGAAAAGGCCCAGGTCCACATGCAGCCTGAGGGCAGAGGGAGCGCAGGGCCACCATCAGCACGGCATGGCTTTGCCACTGAGTAGGGACCCTCGGGAACAGGCGGCAGGCTGAGGGCCTGAGGAAATGAGCATGCCAGAGTCCCTGGAAAGGAGAGGAGCACCGTGGTAACACCTACAGCCGTCTGTGGCTTGATCCGCCTGACGCATGCCCCAGGACCACCCCCCTCCACAGCCAGTCTCAGACGGGAGCTGTCATGGAGGCCTCGTGTTTTTCACACAGCCTGCTGGGAGTCGAGAAAGATGCCGGCCCATTACCCCTGGATGCCCAGTTCTGCACTCGCTTCTAGCAATTTGCCTCGTGTGATTGCCTGTGGGATTTGGTGCAAAGACATGTTTTTTATTACACATTATAGTCTTTACCCACAGACAATATTGACACACAAAACTGCTGGTCCAGGGACTTTTTTTTTGTGTTGAATTATATTGTCTCATACTACGTGCCCCAAGTTCCTGTCTGCATCCACCTGAATACTTATACTCATTCTTTTCTATCCAACCTTTTGGGTTCAAATCCGTTGCTTTTGGATGTTTCTCTCCACTTTGGTGCGGTAAATTTCCGTACTTGCTGATGGGCACGTTGGGGCATCTCACCCAAAGGGCAGCTGAGGGTCACGCAAGCGGGCACAGGGACCCCCCCAGGCAGAGCTTCTGCCCAGTCGTCACGGATGCTGTGATGCTCAGCGGATCTGGAAGGACAACCTGCGAACTCATGGGTCTCTCAAGTTTTTGAAACATGAAGCAAAGTCACGGCTGGCAAGCATCAGTTAACCACTCGCATGAGCAGACAGCGAGGCTCTCTCCCCTGGGACTGTGTGGTGGGCAGCAGTCAGGCTGACCCCCTCAGCTGCGAAAGCCCCAGAGGGAAACAGAACCCGGAGTGAGGGGCGGAGGGGCGGGGAAGGTGGGTGGGGAACCAGATGCAACTCTCGGGCTTTTCAAGTTTGTCAGTGAATTCTCTTTAAGTTCATTTGGAGTGGGTTTAACTTGCAACTGAAGAGGTCCATCTGCCTGTGTGCACATAGGCACACTCTGTGGCCACACAGGCGGCCTTCTCCAGGGCCCATGGAACGTTACTAGGAATGGATCCTATTTCAGGCCAGGTTAGTGTGGGAAGTCGTGAGCACAAGGAAAGCGAGCACACCAGAGTCCCTGGAAAGGAGAGGAGCACCTCGGTAACACCTGTGGCCGTCTGTGGCTTGATCCGCCTGACTCCAGGAATTTTCACGTCTTTACTTTTCCATACACTGTTCATGTGAACGTAACAAGATGGATCTACCGCACATTCTCAACCTCTCAGAGCCAAATTGTTGCTTGCATTTGGGTCAGTAAGGCTTCTAGCCGTAGGAGACTCCCCAACATATTCTCTCACACACGCACACACACCTAGTTGGGCACACCTGCTCGCACACATGTGCACACACATACACGTGCACACACGCAGTCTGGAGGCTGGTAGCTCTAGGGCTCATTCACTGTCCAGATGATGTAATTATGGAATCAGACTCATCCTCCTGCTCCAACAGCCTCCTGCTTCCCCTGGCGGCCAGGCAGCTGTGGGAGTGCCATAGCCAAAGGCAACAAGCAGGGGCTGGACCCCCCCCTCCTCAAAACCTCCCAGCAGACTTTAGCTCAACTCTCTGCAGAACTAGGGGACACAGGCACCAACCTGCAGGTCTTGGGACAGTGAGCATCCAGCAAATAGAAACGAGGGGACTTATCAGGCGTGACTGTCCTGAGTCAGCAGAAGGCCCTACCTTTCCTGAGATTAAAGTACCTCAGCCTGCAAAAGAAGGGGATCCGTTGTCAGGGGAGAAGGGGAACGGGCAAGAAGGGGCCGTCAGGTGAGTGAGTGTGTGCACCACAGGCGCACAGGGCCACGTTTCCATCCGGCCTCAATTTGAGAGCCTGGCTTTGTAACCAGGGGGCTCTGTTGTACGAATTCGCATGCTCGGTGAATGGGCGGGTACGTGCTGTGGTGGTGGCTTCCGGGCACCGGGTCTGAGCTGGTCTGGCTCTGCCCCTTCCTGTGTGACCAAAAGCTGACCCGTCACGGCCTCCAGGTCTGGATCACGGGAGGGGTGGGGCTGGTTGTTTCCCTTTGTTCTAAAAGGCTCGACTTCACAATGCCTCTGTGGCATCCAGCTGTTTGCCCTGGCGTTGCTGTGAGTGGACGACCTTCAGCACCTCTGCTCCTGCTCTGGGCATCCCACCGCAGTGCAGGGCAGGGCTCGGGTGGACTCTGCACCAACTTCTGAGAGCGAAGGCAACATGGTGAGGAAGGAGAGAGAGAAGATGGGGGCCGCGCAGGGGCACCCCGTTCTGCTGAGCCTCACTCCTGCCTCAGGGCTGGTGAGGGCTGACACTGGGTCCCGGCCACTGCCCGGACTCCTCGAAGGCAGTGTGGGGGCTCTGGGAAGACGCGTCAGACGCTTCGGGCTGGAGCAAATGGGCCTGGAAGGTCCGTGAAGGCCGGCCCCCACCGAAATGTCGAATTCGCAGAAGCCAGCCCTCAGCCCCAGGAACAAGGCCAAGAGGGAGCAGAGCAGCGGGTGCCAAACCAGAGACGCCGGCAAGACTGAAGGAGGAGAAAGCCAAGACCCAAAGACAGGCAGACGGCAGCCCCACATTTAGACAGAGGCAGGCCAGGAGGGGCGGTGGCCCTGTGACTGGAGCCCTGCCTCCCCGTGAGCCGCGCAGGGTAGCTGACCTGGGGGACACCCGTGTGGGTGCAAACCTCCCAGCAGCTAGCTGTGCGGGAGCGACGCAGGGTGAACATAAACCTTGGCCGCCC